ATATTGCCTTTTAATGATGTATACCACCTTTGTATACTCGTTGTGTTGTTCATAAATATTGTCTTTCAGTGCTGTAAGCCTCCTTGGGTCCTTTTCTAAGGAGAAAGGTGTAGTAAACATATTGTACATACATACATACATACATACATACATACATACATACATACATACATACATACATACATACATACATACATACATACATACATACATACATACATACATACATACATACATCCCACGGGGGCCATCCGGAAAAGGTGGAGGGTAGATGGGCAGCTTCAAGGTCCCTCGGCTTCCTCTTTGTGGTTCTTTGCCTTTAAATCAGAGATGGGTTTTATACACCTTCTAAGAGAGGACACCAGCAATATGTCAACTCAACTGAGTACATATGAAATTCCTCCTTTCCTTCTCAGAGTAAGTGCAACCTACCCCGACATTTCAGTGCAGGGCTGTTAGGTTGGCTGGTATGGCTTCCAGACATATTTGAACCCCCAAACAAGCAGGCCAGATTCATGGTGGGACAAGATATACCGTATTTTTCGCACCATAAGACGCACTTTTTTCCCACAAAACAGGGGGGTGGAAAGTCTGTGCATCTTATGGAGCGAAGAAAACAGATTATATTTTCCTGTTTTCTTCTCCTAAAAATTTGGTGCGTCTTATGGAAAGGTGTGTCTTATGGAGCGAAAAATACGGTATGTGTTGTAGGTCACAGGGGAGGGGAGGCGGGGAAGAATGCCTTTGCTTTTTCCACGTTTCTGGACAATTGTTTTGGTGAAGTGGGGAGACAAGTAGTGAGTGAACATTTAACTGGGGAAATGCTTTGGATGATGGATACACTATTTGAATTAGGTGATCGTCCCCAGAACTTCCAGGACCTGCTGGTGCTGTTCCTATTGCTCCTTTTGCTGTTTTTCTTCATATTAGCATTTCCTGTTCTCCTGCCTTTTCCAGTCAGGCAAGCAAGAGCGAGTAGGTAGAATACTGTTCGCTCATCTTGCAGTGTTCCCCAGACAGTTGTGTGAATTGCACTGAGGGAGGGAGAAGGCAAATGAATGGGCATTCGTGGCAATGAATGCTGTCTGTTTGCAGCTGGAGAAGGGCCAACTGAAAGGTCCCCACCGAAGGATCTCCCAAACCTGAAGCTGATACTAAGATACAGTGGTGCCTTGCAAGACAATGTTAATTTGTTCCATGAAATCGCTGTCTTGTGAAAATATCGTCTTGCAAAACGCGTTTTCCCATTGAAATGCATTGATTATTGGGATACTGTAGACTAGTAGCCCATTAGTAGGGAATGAGGGGTCTGCAGTCGGTGATATGGTTGGTTATTTCAAATCCACGTACGAAAGCAAATTTGACCCTTAAGACATTGCTCTCCTCCACTTGCAATTCCCCGTACAGATGGGACTAGATGGGCAACTGAATTTTTTGACACTGAAGACTAGATAGGTTCCTCCATTCTAATTGAGGGCAGCTAGGAAGCTTAGGGGGCTGTGAACATGTCATGTGGCACTTGAACTCTATCCCTTGCACACTGATTCACATCTCCCACCTGAGGCAGCAGTCTCACCTTGCCTAATGATAGATTTTATTTATTTATTTTATTTTATTTATTAGATTTCTACCCTGCCCCTCTAGACAATGTCTACGTGGGGCGGCTTACGTAGATAAAAACACAACAGTATAACATATATAAAATAATCAAAAATACAGTTATAACAATTAGTTCCAAACAACACATTACCAAGATGCCATGACTCAAGGAGAAAAGAAAAAAAAATAGAAATCACTTAATTGACTGGAGGGAAGGCCTGCTTGAATAGCCAGGTTTTTAACTGGCTTTTGAAAACACCCAGCGAGGGTGCCAGCCGAATTTCGGTTGGGAGGGTGTTCCACAGCCGAGGGGCCACCGCCGAAAAGGCCCGGTTTCTTGTTTTTTCCTTCCAGGCCTCCCTCAGCGTCAGGCCCCTCAGCTGTCCCTGCTAGGGTTGCCAGATACACGGGTACTAAAAGGAGGACATAGAAAGAGAAAAAGGAGGACAAAGGAGGACATATTGAATGTTTCATTTGAATCATTCCAGATTAAACCCACAATCAATACAATTTTATTACAATAGTTGCCAGTAAATGTCTCTTAGTGAACTGACCAAGAAACAGTCATGTTAAAAAATAAAAATAAATTCAATGTAGGCTTTTTTTTTCAAAATACCGGGGGGTGGGCAGGCAGGTGGGGTGGGGAAGGCCAAGGGAAAGGGGTCCTTCCACCTCTCCCCATCCAAAATTATAACATAAAATATACAAGAGCCTGACAATTCAAACGTTTTTATCTTTGCCTGCCTGACGGAGGACACTAGGCTAAAAAGGAGGACATGTCCTCCTTTTGCCTGACATCTGGCAACCCTAGTCCCTGCTGGCTATGTCGGGTGATTCGGGTAGATCTAGGTGGAAGAAGACAATCTGCCAAATATTGAGGTCCCAAACCGTTTAGGGCTTTGTATACAATCATTAGCACTTTGAAGTCAATGCGGAAATGGATAGGCAACCAGTGCAAGGCGGCCAGAGTGGGTGAGATATGCTGATATTTTCTCACCCCACTAAGAAGCCTGGCTGCTGCATTCTGGACCACCTGAAGTTTCCGCATCAACCTCAAAGGTAGCCCCACGTAGAGTGCATTACAATGGTCTAATCTCAAGATCACGAGCACGTGGACTAGAGTAGTGAAACCACCCCCCATCAAGCTATGGTCGCAGCTGGGCAATCCGCCATAGATGAAAATAGGCGGAACAGACCACGGACGCCACCTGGGTTTCCATGGTAAGCGCCGGGTCCAGATGTATCCCCAAGCTGTGGACCTCACTCTTTGCGGTAAGGGTCATCCCCCCCAAAAGAAAGGGAGTCACCTATACCGCTAATGGAAGGGCCACCGACCCTCAAGACCTCCGTCTTGTTCGGGTTCAGCCTCAACCCATTCAGCTGCATCCATTGCAGTACAGTCTCCAGGCAGCGCTGAAGGGACAGAACAGCTTCCATTGAGGTAGGTGAAAAAGAGATGTAGAGCTGTGTGTCATCAGCGTACTCTAGAGAAGCATTTGCCGTTCTCCACTCTGTATCTTCTCCAAGCTGATCACTGTTGAATCCACTATCTCCTCCAAATACCAGTCATAGCTAGCTGGACCACCAGTGGTTATCTCCTTACTCATCGGCCCAAGTCTGAGGATTGGACAGCTGTGGTCGGTGCTCTCTGTTTTAACTTCCAGAGCAATGCTACGTCAGGGCTGCTGAGGCATGACAGAGAAATTAAGATCCTGCCAGAAAATCTTGCCAGATAGACTGGTTTTTTTTGCCGCTGTTGCTACTGCTGTTGCTATACTCTTTCCTGCCAGAAAATCTTGCCAGATAGACTGTCTTTTTTTGCTGCTGCTGTTGCTATACACTCCTGATTCTAGCAAGGTACATAAGGGGCCCATTTTGCTAGAAAGGGAGTACCAAGGCTCCTACCAAATCTGATACAGACTCTGGACTGCACACCTTTAAAGAATTTATGGGGTAATTTTTGGTGTTGTGGAATCAGCTTTATCCAGAGCATTTGAATTCAACCATGTATTATACGTCCATATTAATCTTGGCCAGTCTTAGATATGAACACGTTGCGTGGCTAGAACAAGCTTGAGCCGAACACAATTCTGCAGTAGTTACACTGGTTATGGATGTGGTTGTTTTCATTCTGTTTTGTTTCATTTTCATTCAAGATCATTCTAATCAAAGTATTTTTAGAAATACAGGTGGGTGGTCTCTCCTACCCCCCCCTACAAATACTGGGTTGGCAGTGTGCTTTTTGCTACTGACCTGTTAGCCGTTCCCAATATTCAGTTTTAAGTTATCTGTCGCTAGTTTGGGCTTGAGATTTCTGCATTACTACTAGAGTTTTATGTGTGTGGTTGCTGAGAACAGGTTAGGTGGAAAAACCATGTAGGCCTTTAAAAAAAAATACTTCGGAGTTTTCCCTGGGCAGCTAATAGGGCCCACTTCAGTGAAGGGCTCACCACCGAAGCCTCCTATGGTGTGCCTGTGTCAGAAGATAAATCATAGTGCATAATATTTGCCATTGTCTGTATAATAGAGTACCATCTTTCTTTATAGAAGCCTGTATTGCCTAGGAAAGATTTATGGGTTGTGGGCTAGGGAATAATCATTGATTCTGAATCTTGTTGGGAAGACTAATTCAGGCCCTTAGCACCTAGAACATGCCAGATGTGTTGGACTATGGGGGGCTATAGGCATTATAGCCTCTTATATCTGGAAGGCACCAGACTGGATAGATTGATACAAGTGGTTGTCTCTGTGTTCTTTTGGTGAAGAACAGGTTCAAAAAGGACTTAAATTGTGATATTATAATCCTAATTTACTGGGGAATGTGGTTGGAGATGGAATAAAAGCTCTTCGAAGAGTTTTCTTCTAGAGGCTGCTAGAGTTCCTCAGGCACATAATGTGAGTTTCCAGTTGACACAAGTAATGGCAGACAAGGATAACGTGGTTGCCATGGTAAATATTCCTCTGTCACGTGTAGATAAACCCAGTGGACCTGGACAGCTTTCTGTACCATCTTATATGGCTCCTGAGAACAACCTCCCTCAATTTTGCACCCCCCAAATGTATCAGACTACAATTCCCACCATCCACAGGAACAGGACCAATGGGTATGCTGAATGGGGATGACTGGAGTAGTGCAATCTGCCCCATCTAGAAGCTTTGGAAAACTACCCCATTGAAAGAATCCTTACAGTACTCTGGGATCCTATGGAGAGGAAGCTCCAGAGTCAACTGGTTAAAGATCTGTGTTCCAGAATGCCTCCAGCACATTTAAGAGATCATCAATAGGTTTGAATGGAGAGATATCTGTAAATGTTGATGGTTAATATGACTGTGGATTCTACAAGTTTTTTTTTAAAAGCCTCTCTGGATTCTGGGCTGATAATTGTTTATTCCTGCTTTAGGTCCTTGCGCTGAATTTGGCCAGTGGCTCCCCCTGTTGCCTAGGATGAGTAACTGCAGCAGTCGCGCCCTGACCCTGCTGTCTAGTGTTTTCGGAGCGTGTGGATTGCTCCTAGTGGGCATAGCTGTCAGTACTGACTACTGGCTATTCATGGAAGAAGGGATTGTGTTTCCACAAAACCAGACCACCGAAATAGTCATGGCGCTCCATGCTGGCCTTTGGAGGGTCTGCTTCTTTGCAGGTAAGGGCCTCAAAAAAGCATGTTTTCCCTCCAGGGTTGCTTTCTGTTACACTAGAAGGCTCCAAAACAATGTGCAATCAACACCAGGCCGGAACCAGCTTGATTAATTAGTCCCACAGAATTTCCTCAGCTTCCATCATGCATTATTTCGAAGTACTGTAATGAAAGCGCTGTAACTAGGAGGAAATGACAAAGTTCATGCATTAAAGAACACATCTGAATTTTCTATTTGTAAATACAAATCAACGTTTGGAAATATCAGTGAATGCGCTAATGAATTAATAGTAAATTTTCAAGGTGGTTTTGCTTCATTGGGCTTAAAACTTTAAAAAAAATGATTAGATGACTCATTAGTCAGTTTATAAAATCATCAAATCTTTAAACTCCAAAACTGTACTTAGAATTGCCGAAAATGCGTGTAACAACAACAAATGTAAACTAGTTTGAATCATTAAAATAGCCTTTGATTTGTTGCTGGAAAGTATAATGAACTGGGCTACCAAATTAATTTTTAAGAAATTATCCCTGGCTTCTGGTTCCAGTCTCCATATACTCATAGCCGAATTCTCAAAGGAGAAGCTGCTGATCCTGGTTGACCTGCACAGTTTTTCCAAAGAAATTTGTTGCAGCCCTGTGTTTTAGCTCTGAGCAAGAGTCTCAAAGCACAGATTGTTCAGAAACCCTTGATGTTGACTGGAAAGCTTGGAAAGGTACGGCAGCATTAATACTGTACTGGCACTCTGTACCTTGACATGAGGAAGTGTTGGCAGGTTCAGGACCGCCCTTTGAAAGAAGAGCTTTGGCCTGCTGCATAATAGCAATCCATCTTCCTTTCGTTTAAAACCACTGGAGGCCTGTGTCCCAAAGCTTGACTGGTTAGCTCAAATTATAATGTGATTTATTTCTCATCTATACCCAAACCAACACACACACTTGGCCTTCCTGGCTAACCATTCCTGCCTGCCTCTTAATCTTCCTCCTTGCTTCTTACATTATAACAAAAACTGGGAATAGTTACTCTTTGAAAATCATATGGTGGCCAGGCTGGTTGGGAGGTGGGTCTGAGAGTTATAGGCCAAAAGACTGATTTCTGTGACTTCTGTTCTGACCTTTTTACCTTCAACTATTCGGCCCCTGTCCTTCATGTTAATGACCTTTCGTTTTTCTTTGTATTCCTGTCTCCGATTCTACACATGGTCCCTCTCTTTCTGGCTCTTATCTATCCAACCCAAGACATTTTGAAAGACAAAATGGCAGCTTCTCATATTATGCCACCGAAGCTGACTTCAGCAGTGCCCGTAGAACAGCAGCCTGCACAGCTGAACTTAGCTTATGGGGTGGAGGCAGGCCAGAGGGCGCAAAGATCTCTGGCCTATAAGATCATGCAGCCGAGGTGAGAGTGACTGGCTCCCTGTTCTTCCCACCATGCTGCCAGCCTGCTCAGACAAATACATACTCCAATATGATGGTGCAAGCCTGTTATTCACCTGTGCAGAACAGCAGGTGTCCGCATGATGCTCATGCCGGAGTGCTTGACTTAGATGGTCTGTTTGCTCAGTCAAGCAAGGCCCTTTCCCGGTTGCACTTTCTGTGACATGATAGGATAAAGCAACCGGCTGGAACAGTCAGTGCAGACCCGGTTTGCCGAAATCAAGCAGAGGTTGGGGAAGTGAGTGTTTTTGATTATACGTAATACCCAAATATCCAAGCCAACATGCTAGGTGTGGGTTTATGGAGTATGTAGTCCTAAAACCCCACTTTTCTCAGCTTTGCAAGCATCGCTAGCTTATGAGGAAGGGAAGAGCTCTCGCTCTCTCTGTGTGTCAGTGCTGTACCTATTTGCAATATTCACCAACTCAGCTGGCTGCATCTCTTTGTCTAATGGCAGGCCAGGCCTTCTTGCCTATGCCTCCCCACCCCTGATTCCTGCCAATGGCCTGAGGCCTCTGTGTACCTCAGACCTGTAGGCCATGGTGCAGTTATGTACTTCCGGACTCTTGAGTCTGGAGTTAATGGTCTTATGGATCATTATGAACTCATAATCACTTCAGAATGTGGCGAGTCAGCTCTGCTGATTTAGGGTAGGGAGGTCTTTTGCAGAGTGGAGCCCTGGCCTTCTCCTCTTAATATCACCAGTATTATTCCCCAATAAAGTTTTCTCTCTTTTTTAAAACCCAAGCTTGTATGCAAATTTTGAGTTGCAAAGGGAGGTGGGTAAGTGGACTGAGTATAATGTGCCTGGTCAGCAAAGTTAAATGAAAAGCAGACGAGGCACCATTCTTGTAAATGTATTATTAAATAGGCTCCAGATACTCCCTCAGGAAATAAATATATGCACAGGCACGACAAGTATAGTGGCCTGGTGAGATCAATGGCCAGCCCATCTGTTCTCTGGAAGGGAAGGCCAGGGAGGCATTTGGTGCGATTGGGCCTCCACAATCCCACCCCATCCCAGAAACCACCACCCCCCGCCTTTCCAAAAGCTGCCCTTTTGATCAGTTGCTTTATTGACCACTTTTGCGATGTGGATTTAATATGTGTTCTGCTTCTGCAGGTCAGAAAAAAGGCAGCTGCGTGGCTTCTGAATACTTCTTAGAGCCAAGGCCTGACCCTGACCCGGAAGGCCCCCTCGTTACAGAGAACACGGAAAACATTCTCAGTGAGTGGATGATCTTCAGTTTGCTGGGCAACACACACACACATACACACAAACATACACACACACACACACACACACACACAGAGAAAGGCCAATCAGAGTGGCCACATGTCCTCACACACATACACACACACACACACACAGAAAGGCCAATCAGAGTGGCCACATGTTCTGTTTTAGAGAAGACTGTTCTCCATTGGAAAGACTGCTAAAAAAATCCTTCTGTGGAAAGAGTTGGTTGTTTGAAGGGCTGTCCCAGTTCACATCTGTTTAACAAACGATATGGAGGAAAGCCAAGCCGCCTTCCCCACTCAAGTGAGATTCGTTGTATTTCTGTTGAATCATACACGTCTTTTCTAATTTTGCATCTATGCACATAAATGAGCTTGAGCATTTGGTGTAGGTAGTATACACACCATAGAGACAAAGGGTCAACAGTCTTGACCCAGATCACCCACCCTGCTATTTAGTTTCAAAAACTGGTAACTGCGTGAATAGTATCTTATCTAGTTTGACCAAACACACTCAAAGTCCTTCCTCCCCACCTGGATGAAAGGGATACCTGCCAAGCAACACTCAGGTGTATCTGCACTATAGATATATCTCAGTTTGATACTACTTTTAACTGCCTGGGATCCTCCCTAAGGGATCTTGGGATGTGTAGTTTGATGAAGTACTAAGAATTCTGCTGTAGTTCAGGGGAGCACACAAAAACTCTCTGGAAGAGAATTCTGAATACTTTACCAAACTATAAATCCCAAGATTCCTGAAGCTTGGAATCATAACAGTTCAGAGTGTCATCAGACTGCTGACCCAACCTCTGGTTATCAGCTACGATCACTGTGTAGTGCAGATACGCCACCAGATTGCAAGACTGAGCAGCAGATGAGTTGATCTTTGACTTCCTTGCACAGTGAGATGAGTTGCATTTCTGTTTAGAACTGAGCCATTATTTCTGATTATGACTCTCTACATGTAAATTAGCATATCCAATATTTAATGCAAATCTCTGTCGGCTGGATGTGTAAGCCACTGCCCTACTCCCTCTTTGCCTTTACAGTGGTACCTCAGCTTACGAACGCCTTGGTTAATGTAATTTTCAGTTTACGAACGAAAATCCATTGAAAATAATCCCTGTTTATGAATTTTTTCCGCAATACGAAGCAAGTTTCCATTGCACCTGGGAGGTTTATAGCACCGCCCCTGTGCAGGCATTCCTCATGGAAACCGTGTTTCAGTTTGCGAATTTTTCGCATTACGAAACATCCCAGAGAGTGCATTAAATTCGTAAACCAATGTACCACTGTATTTGCTTCTTTCTATGTCGCTCGCCAACACTATAAATCTGCATTGCCTCTAACATTTCTAGGTTGAAAATAATAATGTCTTTTTGCTATCTTTATGTGCCCTCTGTTCTTACATTGTGCTGAAGGCTTTTTTTTCTAGCTACCTTATATCCCAAATTCCTTTACGACACAATGGTATGTCCACTATTTTAAAAACCAAGCAGGGAATTTTATAATTTTATTTTTGGTTGAAGCCGTACAAAACAGAAAATACTCAATTTACCTACATTATGTTAACAAGAGTTCAAAATATACCCCAAGTAATAAAGTGTGCAAAATGGGAGATGTAGTTCACCGATAGGCATTATCTACATGTACTCTAAAAGTGAGATACTGTACCTTAAGTCATATGCCCAGAGATTTTAAAGGAGGGAAAGGGGAGAGTATTATATATCCCATTTCTACATGCTGTTGGGGGGAGGGGGAATGACAACAGCTAATATTAACAAAAAATTTAACAAACTATTTCTCTGCAACCGCTCTCCTTTTTTAAAAAAAAGGTTGCACTCTCTTTATTTATAATCCATTTTTCCAGCAAAGAGCTCACGACAGAAAACGTATTTTCCCCTTTCCCCAACTTTTGCCCTCATAACAACTGTATAAAGGTGCAATCAGACTGTGATATAGTTCATATTCTGGTTACGGCATGGCCAGTGCAAGCTATATTCTGGCAACCCTGCTTCCTGTCCCATTCAGAACTTTTTGATCCGGATTCAAGGCTGCTCTTTGGCTGGAGCAATTCCGATGTGCATGGAAGAATACACCCAGCAAAGCAGCTCTTTCCTATAATGCAGTGTGGTTGTGTCCTAAGTCTCAGAGACATTGATTGACCGTCGTCTAGTGAGTTTAATGGTCCAGTGGGGATTTAAGTCTCTCAAGTGGAGATGGGCATGATCCGCTGGTTCGGTGGTTCATTTCCCGGCCAAACAGCTGATTCCCAGTTTGGCACCCTGTTCCCTCCAGTAGGTGCCCATTCCACAGCAGCCTCCCACTTCCTCCTGGCACTACCTCTGAGGTCATGCCCACTGGAGGCGTGGGGCACCAAACCACAGATCAGCTAGCTATTCAGCCGGGAAACAACACTGAACTGCCAAACCAGCAGTTCGTGCCAATCGCTGCTCTCAAGTCCACATACAGGACTCTTAACCACTACTTTACTAGTAAGGAGCCGGATTCCCGGAGGCAGTTCGTGTCATTCTGTCAACTCCTGTGACATCACTGAAACCAGTTGTATTGGCTCTTGCCTTTCCGTTGGACTATTTCAGTGACGTGGAGGGGGGGGATTTGCTGGTTGGGTAACAGCCTATCATCCATATTATTTTACCCAGTCTTCGTGCCCTGGAGAGGATACTCCAGCTTCGCGTACAGCGTCAAAACACTAGACGCTGTTCCAAGTCCTCCATACAGAGCACGTTACTAGAGTCTCTCGAGACTGAAGGATGCCTATGATGACTAGTAAGGAGAAAGTTGGGACTGCTTAATCTCATGCCAAAAAAGAAGAAGAAGAAGAAGAAGAAGAAGAAGAAGAAGAAGAAGAAGAAGAAGATGGTGCCTGTTAAATAACGACAAGATATGCATGTACAAGACATCTCTTTCTGGCATTATAGCAGCAAGCAACGATCTGTGGCATTTGTTGTCCTGGCAGCAAGCCCCACTTCGGGCCAGATAAGTCTGCCCCAGATCGCAATTTAAGGAGGTGCCCTGGAAAGTCCCCAGTTGAAATCTCACCTCAGCCATAAACTAACTGCTGAACTTGAGCAAGCCACCATTCTCTCAGTCTGAACTAGTCATATTCAGTATAGAGATTATAACAATAGCCTACCACACAGGGCTGTTCTAAGAATTTGCTAAGATAACAGCCCCAGTTCACACATCACAGCCAATTATGGCTTGGCCATCATGAGCAGGATGAGCAGGGCTCAGGCTTAACCACTGCCATTCATTTATATTTATTCTTTTGATTTATATAACACCCTACTACTCTGGGCAGTGTTAAAATTAAAACTCAGAACACCACATGACCCCTTTTGTATAAGCTTGGTTGGCATCCATCTCTTACCATTTATTTCATTATACCTGTAATTTTCTATGGTGTCCAAACCAGTCTTGATGCTTCAAAAGAACTGGTGGGACTCATACACCCCCATGGATGGCATGTGGTCCTCAAAGAGCTGCTGAATAGCTCAGTGGTTTCTGACTGCAGAGCTAGAGGTTGGGAGTTTGATTCCCCCACTGGGCCTCCTTGGTAGAGGCTGGACATGATGATCCATAAGGTCCCTTCCAGCCCTGCAGTTCTAAGATTATTATTATAAAGCAAATTTTGCAGCCGCCAGACGATACCCCAATTTTCAGTTCTGTTCCCACACACACTAGAAAAAGGCAGAGTCACATATCTAAAGGAGCATGCTTTTTCTCTAAAAGAAGGTATCTTGCTTTAAATTCCTAACAGGCCAAAGTGTCTTCATGTAGTTATTTTTTCTCTCTCAAGCCAGAAGAAACTTCTAGCCAGTTCTGATTCCACATGGAGAGAGCTGTGTGGTTCCTAGACAATACTGGGAGAGGAGAAACAGCTTCCAGGCCTATAGACCTTGCCACTCTGGGTCTAAATGGGACATGGGCATGATGAGGAAATGGCACAGGGGTCCCTGTGGTCTAGCCCGCCACCTAAGGCAAGAGGTGCTGGGTGACATCAATGGCAGCCCCTTGCATAAGGGGGGGCTGTCATTGATTTAATCTCTTGGAGCACAACACTGTGTATGCAACACAGCTTGTTCTACACTTCCTGCCAGTGAGGTAGTAAGACTCAACTGTGAGCTAAGTTTGCTCCTGCATGTGAAATGGAGGGGGGGGAGAACAACATCCCCTCTAATTTTCAGCCCCACTGTGTGGGATTCTGCCCCTCACATGCATGACTTTGCCCTGCATGCACGATTCCTGCTCACCACGCAGGATTCTGTTGCAACCCGAATGAAAGGGGATGAAAATGAGAGGCTGCACAGAGGAGGATAGAATTGCCCGTGTGCACAGGTGTGCACCTTAGCAGGAACCTTTGAGGGAGGGGTCTTGCACACATTGCAAAGTTCCTCTATCTCCATCCTAAGTAGGGAGGTTTATTCCTGCTTATTTAACACGAAGAGAACCTTTATCCTGATTGGGTGATCTAGAACCCTGATGAAAACAGGACTCGCCACTCCATGGAAGCTTCTGCTCACATGGAGGCAAGTACAAGTAGAAACCCCTACAGACTTTCCCGCTCAGCAGAGTATGGTCAGGGAAATCAGGAATGGGACTGACATGCATAGCGCCATGCTTCTTCTGTGTGATGATGTGCCTTGTTCAGAGGAACAGAGCTAGGAAGGGTTACTCTGGGGGACTAGGAAGGTAGGCAGAGTTAGCTTTCCCATGCCCTGCCCTTGAATAGAGGTTGTGATCTACGCAAAAGTGTTACCTCCCCGAGCAGAACTAGAAACCCCAGCTTCAAATCATGACTTCTAATCCTGGTTTGGAGACAAAACTATGGGAGCCATGGAAAAGTATTTACCAATGAGCAAAGAAGAGAATTGATTTGGATCTGGGAGGGGAGGCAGAATGGGAGAAGGGAAGAGATGGGCATGGATCCTATTCACAAAAGACATAGGTTATCAGGCTTTGAAG